GGGGACCAGGCTTTTCTGAGTAAAGGGAGACATAAGCTTTTATTGATTCCTAGAGTGGGTTAAAATCTGGTAACTTTTTATTGTTCAAGGTACAGTTTTAAAATATTTTTTAAATGAAGAAAGTCTGACCTTGATGAATAGGTGATTAGTTTATACCAGAAACTGCCACATTTCTTTTGTCAGTGCTGCTGTCCTGCACATTTTGGCCTTGTGATAAGAATGGGCTGTAGACACTGAGAGAGAACGTGGGTGAGGGTAGAAGAAAACACATATCATGCATTTAAGCAGTAAAAGGTTAAGGGCCCAGCAGTTTGTTTGACTTCTGTCCTTTGGTGGTAATCCCCAACAGTTTCATTCTCTCATCTAGATTATTCTTGGAGACTTTATGGTAAAGTCATACAACTTTTCATGATGCACTAGTCTCTATTTTGGAAAGTGAGGGAAGGTAAGGAGAACACATACCATAGTTTCAATGGATACTAGGTCATGAATTAGGTTAAACAATAAATGCATTTATTCCTCTAAAAACAATATACCATCTTTTCTAATTACAGTGGAGACTAAGCTACGTAATATAAACTGTGTATGGCACAGGATGAAAAAAAAATAGAAAGAATCTAAATTCTCATGAAGAAATAAGATATTCAAATAAATTCTGAAGCATGTTATGTAATGCAATTTTTCTAAAACACATTATAAAGGGAAAGGAGTGAACTGCAGAGAAAATCAAATAATATTACCCTGGATTTTAGGAGTGAGATCTGGACATGGGTATACATAATGGAGTCATATTTATATGATTTTTATCCCAAGGAACTAGTTGAAATAATTTACAAGTGAGGGAAGATGGGGAAGTGTTTGGATCCAAGAATTAAACCCTGGATACTACAGTATTGGGGGGTCAGGAATACGTTTTGCCCGTTTGTGCTCTAACAATGACATTTTGTTAAAACTGTCACTAATATGTAATATTATCCATTCTGTTTAAAAATATTTCAAACATGGAAAGGAAAAGAAAATATATGATAATTATATGTATGCTCACCATCCATATCTAACACACTTTAGCATTTTGCCAAGTTTGATTCAGACATTTTTGGTTTTTAAAGAAATGTATTGTAGATCCAATGAAAAGCTCATCATCCATTCTCTTCCCTAGTTCCCTAGAGATAACAACTATATGTATACTTTCCAATTAGTTACTTCTACTTTTATCTTTTATGCTTGTATTATGAATAATATAAGGTATCATTTTATATGCATAAGATTTAGCTTTGGAGTGCATTATACTGATTTTATCTTGTTGCTATTTGAATTGTTCTCACTTGAAAATGCTTTAGAGATTCACCCATTTTAACACATATAAATATAAGTCATTCATTTCAACTGTAGCATAGTATTTCATTGAATGAATATACTATTTTTGTGCTGGTTTATAACTCCCACATCAGTGAATTTGGATTCACATTGGCAGCCAAACTCATAAGACTCATTTGGTGCCAACTGGTACTAGGTTCATTTGAATTTGTAATGAGATAAAATGGAAGACATTGTCAAATATGCATATCTTTTTAGCAGGAGAAGTTCTTAAAGATCTGTCTAGGGGTTGTTCTTCGCATGTTCTGTCCCCCTATGTGAGTGTCTGGGTATAAAAAAGATACCACAAAGAGTGTGGAGGAAACCTGTTTACAAGCACCATGCCTGAAAGAAGTCAATGTTTTATAAAGCCTATGAGTGTCACCTGCAAGTGTCATAGCAGTAATGGACACAGTCAAAAACAGAAGTGTTTACTGATCCGTAGTCATTTTTTGCCATAAGAAATGTCTGGGCTGGGGATGTAGCTCAGTGTTAAGGCACTTGCCTAGTATGTGAAAGGCCCTGGGTTGAATCCCCAGCACTGAAACAAACAGAAAACAAAGAAATTCTGTCTACTTATATCAATATCAAGTTTCCATTAAAAAGTATTAGAAAAAAACCAGATTATTACCCAGAGAAGCAGAAATATTTTTGTTGATCTTTATTTTTATATTCGTTGTTTATTGATGACATTTTAGATTGCTTTTTGTTTTATTCCTTTTTTTGTTTTCTATTTCAGTGTTGCAGTAAATACCTCCATTCTTGGCATCATCATAATACTTAAATGTATTTTTAATATTTCAAAAAAATATTTTAAAAACACCGATAGGTCAGTTTCCAATTCCTTGAATCATATTCAAGTCTTATCTCTTTCTCTTCATCTACATGCATTGTTAATTTAAAAATGTGTCTCCTGTGAATTTTTGCCCATGTTATATTGGGTATGTTTCTGCCTATAATTTTTGTAGCTAATATGTGATAAGTGTTAATTATTAGTCTTAATTATTAATGAGTTATATTCTTTCATGATACAATAATCAATAAAATGAAATAAGAATTTATTTAATTTTCTTCCTCTGTGTGCTGTTAACAAATTTTATTCTTTTTACTATTTTGTTATATTAGCTCTTAATGGATTAAGAACCATACTTTTTAACTAATACTTAAACTAATCATTTCAACTGATATTTATTAAGTGTGCATTATTGGCCAGGAATTTCAGCCAAAATCTATATTGCAAATCTTTCTTCTGAGAACTAGATGCTTATATTTACTAGACATGTCTACTTGGAAAAAGAAAACTATTAGTATTCAGTCACACATAAATGGATTGTCAAGGGGAAATTCATACACAGTTCAAAAACACTTATCCTTAAGTGTGAGCATGTTAAGTGGAAGTATTTAATAGAAGGGAAATGCAAAAAATTTCCATTATGTATTAGCTTGAGTCTCATATCTACACTCTGAAGTGATTTCTCAGAGAATTTAGGAAAAAAGAAAACAATCATTTAATTAGTTGGATAGTGTTGTAAAAGAAAGCTATCACCCTATTTCACTTTATTTTATATATTTTCCCATTCCACTTCGTATATTCTATATTAATTTCTCAAGAATAATATGTATAACTGACCCAGGAATAAAAGGAGTTTTGTGAGTGAACATTGCAACATAAAGCACAGGGGCCAGGAGCACCAAGGGGCTTCTGGCAAGTCATTACCATTGGGGGGAAATTACAATTACATGTAAATCTACAATAATGTTTAGAATTTTTTTTTTTTTTTAGTTAGTCTTCTTGTCCAGGGAACTGGGAAAACTGACTCTATTGACACTAGGCCACATTCAGTCATTATGCTAGTGAATTTCTGTGAATTATCTCAGGATGAAAATTATCTCAGGATGATTTATCCCCAACAATCTGAATTGTTGCGTACTCACCTAGCATCACCTTTAGTTTAATATTTCCCAACATTTTAAATTTTAAAATAATGCCTTGCTATTACTGATAACTTATGTCAAACTAGACTAGAATAGGTTTAGTAAACTTATTACTTTTCTAGCGCTAATTAAAACACCACACATTCGTTCTCTTACTGTTGTAGGAGTCAACAATCTCAAATCAGTTTTATTGGACTGAAATCAAGGTGTTGGCAAAGTCTTCCTCCTTTTTTTAAGGATCTGGGGGGAATTAGACAAAGGCGTTTTTCAAAGTGATTGTGAGCTTCAGGAGCTGAGCGTTCTTCTGATTTGCTGTCAAACCTGATGAAAATGGGCATCTGAGAGGGATGATGTGAGAGGATGCTGTTAGGTGAACCAGGTAATGCACCTGGGGTCCGGTTTTCAACTCCTCCTCCTTTCTCTCTCTCTCTCTCTCTCTCTCTCTCTCTCTCTCTCTCTCTCTCTCTC